ACTCTAAACAGTTTAGTGTTTTACATATAACTGGACATTTTTTAAAACTGTTTATATGAAACTTAGACATCAAACAATCTAATTATTTCGTAGAAGAAAAAACAAAGTTGTCTTGAAATGGCTGTGCTTCGTTAACCCATCACTTTCGTAACCGTTATTATTTTAACACATAGATATTGGTACAAGGAGGCACCAAATACATATGCGCCACACGAATCTCAATTGATTTGTGTGAGGGCTGTGATACTGCCCGGGTGCCCAAACCGAAGCAGGTGGTTTTCTTAGGGGGCCACACCCGGAGCCTTCGACCTGAACGTCTGACCCACAAGGCAGTGGAGTATCGTAAGGAGATGCAGTCCCATGGAAGCCGGTGACCAAAGATTGGTTCATACGCCATTTGTTCCTTCAGGATACTGGAGCCCATGTGCACCATTGGTTTGGTTAAAGCGCCGGACATTCGCTTTTCGTCCTCTCATTTTCGTAAACAACACCCGTGGTGTGAGAAGGCAGTGAGTAAGACTTCCCTGGTAGAGGCTATATACGCATGGGCATGTGAGAGCATTTCGAGAGGGAGAGAGGACTCTGCCCACTCTCGGCGGTACCAGGGCATTTGGGGTGTTTGAAAACAGAAGACAAAGAGAAGCAGTAACTACAATTTTATTAGCAGATAGCTCAGACCACAAAGAGGAGAGCCGAACGAGTGAATAAGATTAAAGTGTACATGTATATATACATAGTGAAATGAATAAATCATCGTATCAATTAAACAGCTAACGGTAGAGCTAGCAGAATGAATATATGAGTAGATAGTAAGCAATATTCAAGCATACATAATCATACATTTCCAACAATAATAAAGCTCAGTCAGTTAACTACAACGTAGGACCAGGTACATATATGCATCGGTTCAAGTTCCCATACCGCATTAGTACAACAAGATGAACACCAGATTCATAGAAGTAGTTAATTCAATGGTGGTAATATATAAAAGAAAGATTTCATTTAAGAATAAAGTACAGAAAGATAAAATTAGTACGTAGAAAGATATGAAGCGATTTTAATCTCATAGTCTAAGGGAAGACAGAGAGTGTATACACCTACGTCCTTGTGTTCGATTCTGAGCCCTGTCACCAAGAATCACGAGATGACTCAGTTCGTTAAATAAGTCAACAAACAAGCTTAATCAAATTAATTGTGAACAAACTCAATTACACATAAGTTGCTATAGTCTGTTTATAAAACGTGTTCCAAAGTAAATAATCGAATATTCAACCAATACAAATATATTTTTTTAATGCACTTCACTTATAAGTAATTAATCAAGTATACATTCAAGTATTTAGTTTTGATGTACACTAGTTAAACGAAGCATAACGATACCAACCAGTGATTCAACGTATTGATTATATGACCTGACGAACGGTTAGATTGTCAACAAACAACTCCATATAGACAGAAGTAAAAAACCAGAATTACAAAAGATAGTCGAAATGATGTGGCATAATTTAATGAGGTGATGAAGAAAACATAAAAAGATTTCAGGTATTGATTAAAATAGGGTAATGAATGGATCATTTCAATAATTATCAAAAGTATTTAAGCCTCAACTATAAATTATACATTAGTAATAAGAAATAAGACAGTAATTGGAACTTGAAAAAATTGGAAGTGGTGATAAGATCATGGAACAATAATATAGTGAACATGACTCTTTTGTATACAATAATCAGATTTGAAACTGTAAGTTGCTACAATTCTAACTGTACAGAAATGTTTGAATAAAATCTTCTTTGAATCAGTTCTTTTGAATTTGCAGATGACCCTGAACGACGAGCTATACATATTCTACAAGTGATTTATTATTCAATTTCTAAAACCTAATTCTGAATTTGATCAGTCATAAACTAATGGATTTAACACGTCTATACGAGAAACTCAATGTCTGTTGACCGGATACCATCAGCAATAGCCTACTGTGGAAAAGAACAAACCAACCTACAGCTGAGGAAATTAGGAAAAGACGATGTAAGTGGATAGGACACATATCACGAGGCAAGAGATTACTTGGAATCGCGATGGGAAACGGAAATGAAAATGACCAAATAACACACTACGTCGGGAATGGGAAGCAGATATTAAAAGGATGAATAGTAACTGCAAAGGATTGCTTGTGAAAGACTTGGATGGAGAATGGTGGTGGTCGGTTCATGTTCCTCCAAGAGGGATAACAGACATAAGTTATATAATATAGCTTATGGTCAACTACTATTAAAAATAATAAGTAGTGGAACGTGCCGGTATAGCACTTGAACAAATGAAATAAGATGAATGAATAACTTGATTTGAAATGATCATCGAACGAAAATCAATTTTATTGTTTCACGAATCCATGGTGATAATTGACTTATGTCGAGAAAGTCCCAACGCGACTATCAGTCTAAATAACTCAACAAAGCTCAGCTAGATTTCAATGTTATTTACCAGTAGATAATCAATAAAGATTTCTCGATGTAATTCACATGTTAGTTGATATTCAATATATAAAAAACATCACTGTAATCTTGAATACTATTTTCTCTATCCTAATAGGATGCCTGGAAACTTCTTCGACACTACGGAGTTCCTGAGAAGATTGTCAACATTATCCGGAACTCATACGACGGACTACAGTGCAAAGTAGTGCATGGAGGACAGCTGACAGAGGCATTCCAAGTAAGGACCGGAGTAAGACAAGGCTGTCTACTCTCTCCCTTCCTGTTTCTTCTGGTGGTCGACTGGATTATGAAGACCTCGACATCTGAGAGAAACTACGGCATACGATGGACAGCTCAGAACCAATTAGACGACTTGGACTTCGCAGATCACCTAGCCCTCCTATCACATACACACGAACAAATGCAGATAAAGACAGCCAGCATAGCAGCAGTCTCTGCATCAGTAGGCCTCAAAATACACAAAGGGAAAACCAAGGTCCTCAAACACAACACGGAGAACAGCAATCCAATCACTCTTGATGGCGAAACTCTGGAAGACGTGGAATCCTTCACATACCTGGGAAGCATCGTCGATAAACAAGGAGGTTCAGATGCAGACGTCAAGGCGAGGATTGGCAAAGCTAGAGCGGCATTCCTTCAACTGAAGAACATATGGAACTCAAAACAACTTTCAACCAATATCAAAGTCAAAATCTTCAATACGAACGTCAAGGCAGTTCTACTGTACGGAGCTGAAACTTGGAGAACTACAACAACCACCATCAAGAAGGTACAGGTATTTATCAATAGTTGTCTACACAAGATATTCAACATCCATTGACCAGATACTATCAGTAACAGCCTTCTGTGGGAGAGAACAAACCAGCTTCCAGCTGAAGAGGAAATTAGGAAAAGACGATGGAAATGGATAGGACATACATTGAGGAAATCATCAAACTGCATTACGAGACAAGCGCTAACTTGGAATCCTGAAGGGAAGCGGAAAAGAGGAAGGCCAAAGAACACATTACGTCGGGAAATAGAAGCAGATATGAAAAAGATGAATAAGAACTGGAAAGAGCTTGAAAGGATTGCCCAGGACAGGGTTGGATGGAGAATGCTGGTGAGCGGCCTATGCTCATTCGCGAGGAGTAACAGGCGTAAGTAAGTAAGTAATAGGATGCCGATCAACGTAGCTCAATTTGATTAAGTTCGTTTTCTTTTTGTAAAAGGATATTTTGTTATTATTGCTTTATCAGTGTTATTTACGTTACACTTATAGGGCATATTGAAAGTAGTAAGGTACATTGTTGTACATGTATTTTTTAAATCACAAAATTTGGAAATGTACACAACTTAGATAGGATTCTTTTAATTTTAACTCTATTTTTCCCATACAACTTTGATAGACGCGCAAAACTTCAGAAATAACAGAACAAATGGTGTTGAGTAGAATTCAATCAAGCAAGAGTTTCCAACCATATGGCGAATAATCTTTCTTTTGCGATGAATGTGGTTTCGTGAAATGAAAGGAGTAGCTGTGATATAATAGTATATTTTTATACTTCTTTCAAAACTCTCATTTATAAATAAGAGGATTAATACCTGAATTAATCGCTTAGTCAACTTAATAATGGGCTATCAAATATTATAGTGACTTTTAGTCGATATGTTTGCCATATAACTTAACAATCAATCATTTAACTAATATACATTTCACTTCCGCTTTAATGTCCATTTCCTAAGATATGCTAATAGTTAAGTGAACTACATAAGTTACCAATGTTATGTTACCTTCTGTCAGAACAATAATACAGTACGTATGTTAAGACTGAATAAAGCAATATATGACGAGCACAAGTAATGGTATCAGTCAAAGAAATTATAGATTACTATTCTGATTTCTACGGGGAAAAGTTATGTATGGATAGTTGTAGTCCCCAAAAAAGACCCTAGATAAAATAATTTAAAACAAACTAGTATCAAGGGTTCGTGAAGATGATTAGATTTTAGAATTCACATAACATGAACCTACCATTAAACACCATTGAAAATGAGGAAACACTAGACTGCTGATATTTCGTTGAATATGAGATAATTACCCTCTAATAGCATTGGGAGATGTCGAGACGAAATAGCAACTATGAGATATTACTGCACATTTCACGACTATACATAAACATATCATTGCTAATCATATTTCTTTTGTGCATTAAAAGAATACAATTTTGATCGTGTAATTAATCTTTGTTTTCAGATGGTCGTCAAATGACTTTCCTATCCACTCATTTATAATTTACTAGTCAGGAGATGTAAATAACTATATTCAGAGTAATAAAGCATTAGATGATAGTTAGGTAAAATATCACTGTCATATTACGTAATCAAGAAATACTTTACTAACAGTAATTATTATTAATATTATGGTTAAAAAAATTAAACGAGTAAAGATTGTTAGTTAAAAACGATTTGTAATAAAATACGTTTTAAAAAAATTATATGACAATCATCAAATTAATATATTACATAACCAATTATGCAAATATATGGATAGAAATCCAGCTCCAGCTACGCCAATTGAATCAGATACAGTTGCCATTGCCATTGCAGATTCACGGTAGATTGGAGAAGTCTATAAAGTTATATATATACAGATATACGTAAGATGTGAGAACTGGTAGAACTTCTCTCTCTCTCCCTATATATATATATATATATATATATATATATATATATATATATATATATATATATATATATATAATGTTTAATAGAAACATTTCGCAGTGTCTACATGTTGAACTAGGAGGAATGTTTATTACTAATGTCTACACAAACATAAAATCCGTCATCACTAATCAGTAATCAATTAACTGTAAATATCTTAGTACTATAAGTCAGTCGTGGATAAAATAACTCAGTTGTTGTATTTCAGAATGAAACTTGGTGACCAAGGTTTTTAGTCATCAGGGAACATTAGTTTCCTGAAGACTGCAGAAATGTTTAGCTAACAAGTATCAATAAGCAAAAAACATAAGTCAATAAGTTGTTTCCTGCCAACTACCTCCAAAAGTCAAACATTGAGAGAATAGACAGATTCATAGAAATTCCACTTCAAATCCAGTTGTATGTATTTATGTCATTCTAATACTGAATAAGTAATAATGGACCAGTGGTATAGTGGTTAAAACATTTGGTTCCAAACTACTAAACTTTGGATTTCAACTCCGTTACACTAACTTCGATTTAGGCAGTTTTAATAGTACTGCGGTGTATACTACTTATATTGACAGATGTAAGTAGTACGTAACACCAATCAGAAGTGAAATGTTTGGCGGTAGAATATTGAATTAGTAAGAAGAGGAATGCAAACAAAGAACAGCTGCAATAACAACAGAACTGAAGGAATGATGAAGCATGTAAAGGACAACTGAAGGAAGATGTGCAAATTATGTATTTGATGCATCGTTATCATATTTTACAAGAGCACTTTGTAATTTCGCATAAAATAATAAATTCGTTTACCCCACCTTCATTTTCACATAAATTGTTTAGCTGAATGTTAAATACACCAAGCTGTACTTGGTGTGCACACCAGTTGCATAAGGCGTTAATACTTGATGAATATAAACACAATAAACTCATTGGTTAACTAATTGAATCACAGTCTTAAAAAATAATAGAAAAGCCAATAATATGTAAGGGTATTTATTTTTTGGCTGCTAAGTATCAAATTCGAAACCTGCTTGGCTTACTCTGATCTGAACGACAGGAAAGATTCAATAGCTGTAGGTTTCGTCCTAATTGACAAGAACACTTCAATGATGACATCTCAGACTATGAAGTTGAATGAACCAAGTTTAAATCTCACAATGACCACTAATTCCCTAAAGATTACAGGCATAGCTTGCTGAACAGTACCGACTAGTACGAAACTTTACTTTAGCTATTTGCTTTAGACGATCTTTAACCACCTAATAACATCGTCAAAGCCTATTTATTACATTGACTAAAAGATTTCTTTATATAAGAATACAATACCAAAGAAAGTATTTCTGTTATTATTTCCTGATAAACTTACTTCTTGAAGAACATTATAAAATGTGTTAACATAAGTTAAACCACCCAGGCATCCTTCATAAAATATCACAATGAACATTATCCATATATACGGTATATAAGAATAGATCACTTGTAATAAACATATTACAAAATTCATAGCCTGTTTGAATAATTAAACAAAAAGAAATAATGATAATAGTTAATTATGAGTATATATATAAGTAATCAAACGTTATTAACATTGGTCACAGTCGACTTGTAGACATTCGAACATTTCTTGAAGCATGGATTATATCAATGTAATTTATAGTTGAACATATCAGATGAAAAGACATAAATATAGTTAAACATAAGACTTTATGTGAAAATTACACTCATATATAAATGCAGACAAAAAAAGTAATCGTAAGTGTTGGATGCAGTTCATTTATTAAACATTGACAAACACTTCAGCCAGTTTGATCAAACAAATTGGTCAAAAATAAAATATATACTTTCGAAGTTCCTTATAAATTTATGAAGAAGCATTCATTGGCTAAATAAATATTATGACTACTTGTTGACTTTGTTCACGTAATACACGTAATTACTAGAATTTTCCAATACCATCAATTTGGGGATTTGTGGAGATTGTGGTAATTTCACAGTTGAATTCACGAGTCGATCTAAGCTAGACCACCACTGAAAACTTGAAAGCACTGAACGACCGTTTCGTCCTAGCATGAGACTTCTCAGCCGTACACATCTACGATCCCATATGAGAGGTAAGAACGCAAGACGCTCGGTCTAGTGCGTGAAAGCTTAACCTCAACTAATAATATCATGGATAAATTGAAATTAGACATTAACATTGTTGAATGCCGGCTTAGTAGTCTAGAGGTTAGATGTTTGCACCCGAGAACGGTCCTGTGTTCGATTTCCACATGCGGGGTTATGGATGTGAACTGCTGAGGAATCTCATACTAGGACGAGACGGCCGTCCAGTTTTTCCAGGTTTTTAATGGTGGTCTAGCTTAGATCGACTCGTAAATCCAACCTTTACAATACTACAATCTCCACAAATTCCCATACTTATTTAATTTTGTATGGTGTCTAATAAAATATGAATATTATGAAAAAATGAGGCAATCGTATCAGATTCTTGGTCTTAATTAGACAACTGTCATAACGAATTATGAAAATTCTAACGATTGATTTGACCTGAGAAAATTAAGAAAAACATATAAAATCATTATCCATTACATATTAGATAATTATTTGTATTCCAGTAAACAAACCTATCAAAAACATTAGTGGTGAACTGTTTGGATGGGATAGGTTCATAGTTATCATCAGTTGTCAACAAAAATAACGAAGTACAATTTCTAATAAAGTTGGATTGTAGATAATGGTTAAATCTAGAACGAGTATTTAATTCTGCTTTGAACTGGTCAGCCTAATGTACTTACATCATAGTGTTGAAGTTTTTACAAATCCTTACGAGCAAAGTTTATGCCATTGAACAACTAAGTAGCTATCTGGATCCAGTCACACAGTAGATAAAGCATTGAAATTTGAAGCGAAAATTACTGTTTGAGTAGCACTGTGAACTTATGACTAAATGACAATATCAAGGTAATCCACTGTATACATCACTAACATACAGGATATTAAAAAAGTGAATTTATCTATTGAAAAGGATATTGACTAAAATAATGAAATGAAAGGTTCTTGATTGAGTGCCTGACAGGATTGTGATTGCACAACACAGAAAAGTTCAATATAAGAACAAGGTAGTTGCCCAGTAGTTCCTATTTTGAGGTAGTTTGCTAAATGATGTCATTTTGTGTCGTAAGACGTATGTAGATTAAACATTTCCACAAAAATTTCGGGCACTAATAAGAAGGAAAGACTTGAAATAAACTAAAATTATTATCCTTTAGTAAGAATCCAGTCAAATTACTTCATTTAAAGCCCTACCAGTGCTGCTATCTTGATGTGGTGATCTGTCTTGACTATTGTGATGAACCAATCGGGCTATAATGGTTGTAACAATCGTCCCTGAAGGTCCTACCATGTCAGGCAGTTCGGTTGAAGAGTGGTAATACTAAATGCAGCAAACCTAAGGTCCGAGGGCGAAGTTGTACCGCCGACTGTAAGGAGGTGTGACGGCAGTAAGGTGTTTCCCTCAGACAAACAGCATGTTAGTGATGCTGCCTTCCCACAAAAGAAGAGTGGGGTTAGAGAAGGTCGACCCCAAAAATGTCCACTCCGCCTTATCCCACGGATTTCCGTCTTCGGCGGTGAGGTTCCAAGAAGTGCGGAGATAACACAAGAACTACCCACAAAAAAGTTGTGTATAACCAGCCCCAAGTAGTTATACCTTGGGCACTGCGGCCAAGCCTCCAGGTCACAAAAACCACCCCTAACCCAATTTTCTTTTCAGGTACCTCTAGAAGAACCCTTCTACAGTGTGGGCAACCGGGAAGTGATAACCGCTCTCATACCTCTGACGGCACTCCAGAACACTAAATTCATGATTAATCTCCTTCAATTACTATAATTCCACTTACCTCGACTGTCAACTCTAAACTTACTTCTCAAGTATAATTATAGCCAACGATTCTAGTGCGCGAAATACTGTTCCAGGTCTTCTGAAACCTCGCTTCAAACCACACATTGGAGCCTTCAAAGTACCCACCCTATGTCAAAACGACCTACAGGTCTCCTTGGCTGATACCCTAGGATCTCGTACCATTGATGTATGCTGTGTCTCCGAAACATACATACAGGATCCTAGTGTGTTTATTCACTTGACCTCATCAAGCGAAAACAAGCCGACGAGATACATCCCCATGTATCTGGCGACCCGATGGCAAGTTCTCGTGGACTGGCAGACGTAGGCACAGCACTGAGTACGAGGGCAGAACAAGCACTATTACAATGGATCCCCGTTAATAGACTCCTGTGTGTTGTTCGGCTAAACGGATCCACAAGAAATCGGCAGGATAGGGACACACATCGTGTCTGCCTATGAATTTTACAGAAAGCTTTCTGAACTTCAAAAAACTAAACACCCAGACATAGATTAGTAGCACGTAACTTTAATGCCCCAGTAAGTAGCTTAAGAAAAACACAAAGACATTAGGGTGGGTATTTTAGTATTCCGGTTCAGTGAACAAATAATGATGACCGTCTGCTGTAACAGCGTTCAGAAAATCGTTTATTTTTGACAAGTACTAATCTTAGGTATAAGGAGTGACATCGTCTAACATGACAACCCCTTGCACCAAACCAGCGATGGACTAAAATAGACCATACTGCCATCAGTCATAATTGGAAAGGCTCGATATTAGGATGCCGATCGTTCTGGAATACATGCTTAAAATCTGATCATGCTCTAATACACGTAATTGCTAGCGCCTCACTGGATGCAGAAAAGCCATATTAATACCAAATAGACTAGATCTCAGAGATGAGAAAGCCAAAGGTAAATTCTAGGAACACCAGAAGTCACACTTAGGCAATTTCGGAAAGATATAAGAACAGCTGTAGAAACAGCAGTGACATCCATTGGTGATTTCAACTCAAAGGTTACGAAAAGTCAGTAGATTTCTGAGACATCTGTTGCACTGATGGATTCTCGTAAACTTATCCTAGCACGATGAAAGTTAAAATAAATCAAATATAGACTGACCAAAAGTCTACGGAACGATCGTGCGCAGTCTGACAATGATGGTTTCTCTTAACTTAAAGGCAGCATTTAACTTTGTAGACTGAGAGGTTCTATGGCAGTGTCTGTCATTGAAAGGTGTACCCCAGAAGTACATAAACCTTGTAAAAGGCTCTTTACTAGAACACTACCAGTCGAGTCAGAGCTTATGGCGAACTGTCATCTGATTTTCCAACCTCGTGGTATCCGGCAAGGTTGTCCATTATCTATATTTTTGCCCAATTTTATCGTCGACTGAATTTTCGGGGATTGATATTGTACCAGGAGGTCCACATATTGACTTAGAATACGCAGATGACATAGTCCTGTTTGGTGAAGACGCTGATAAAATGCAATCTTTTGGTAGCACTGAGCAACAATGCCAGGATGTTTGGGATGCGCTTCTCACTCTCGGAATGTAAATTGTTACTTCGAAACCGGTCTGAATTAAGGATAGGGAGTAGAGTAGCAAAATGAATCGACAACTTGCGTCTGCTGGGATCACCGGGTAAGTAACAATAAGGTTAGACGCATGTTATCAGAGGACGGTGGTAAATCAATTGAAGTTGAGAATCTCCATCGACTGAGATGGTTGGGTTACGTATTACATATGCCCAACCATCGACTACCACGGCAGGCAACGCTGACTAGTGTTGGAGATGGATGTAAGAAAGTTAGGGGCGGCAAAACTGAAACGTGGCATCATCCCATAAAGTCACTAACTTCTGGTCTGATCCATGTTGGTAGATGCAAACTACTTAGTTGGGGTCCGCGCAACTTTTGTAACCAGTGGTTGAGAACTCTGTGTGATATGGCTCAGAATCGATCACGATGGTGTAGGCGTGTACACCTTGTCTTCTCTTAAACTATGAGCTTAAAATTGCTTTATACCTTACTTTCTACGAACTAATTCCTTCTCCCTGTATCAAATCCTTATATGCAATTATATATATATATATATATATATATATATATATATATATATATATATATATATATATATATATATATATTGCTACTATTGAAACAACTGCCTCCATGAATATGGTGTCCATCTTGTTGTGTTAATGAGGCATGGCAACTAGGAACGATGCATATATGTACCTGATCCTACGTTATAGATAACTGTCTGTCTAACTTTATTTAAAGTAAAACAAATCAGTAGTACAAAAAAATTAATGAACGTACTTGTAGCAATGACATAATCCAAGTGGTCTTAAATTGAATAAAACTGACTGACGATCTTGATAAAAATACACCAGTTTGATAAAGTACTTGATACCTATATTATTTATATGAACAACAATGGTAACAACGAAATATCATAGTGAAATTTGAAACGTAACAAAAAAACAATACTTGAAGTAAACTATTATATAGTGGATAGATTGTGTCTAGCAGTGAATGCATGTTTCGTCCTAGATGGAATTCACCGATACCAGCTAGATTGTAGTGGTTTATCCTGGAGATATTTTTCATAATACGAATATCACTTACTCTGATAATCGTTATTACGTTAATTCCCAGGGACGCATAATTTTCGGAAGACAACTAAGAAGTGGTGACTACGGTTTATTGTAGTACAGCACAGGTTAAACAACTGGCAAACATACAGTGCAAGAGTATATTAGAATACGGATAAGAATCACTGAACTGATAGAATTTAAGAAGTACATATATTCAAGCATTCTAATAGGTCATCAAGCGATTTACGTGACTAATATTTAAGCTAGTAAGAGGAGTACATGTGTAGGTTATATCATGTAATCAAACATACAATCATGGGATTTATATGAACTGGGGATAAACTCCACATTTTAAAGTCATCTAAGTATATCGTAGTCAGCAATCGTGATTATATTTTCGTTTATTGAGTCACTCAATTATAGATATTTTGGAATATTTTCCATCGTGACTGACTGCCCTACACTTAATTTTTCCGTCGCATAATGATGTGGCATTTTCTTTGCAGAAAACTTTAAATTTTACATGTAAGACAGCAAAAGCAACAGATGACAAAACACGACCTCCATAGTGGACTACGATGGTGCAAATAATATGTCCCGCTTCATTTTGGTTGGTCATCAAGTGGAGTTTATCTTCATATATAATATGTGTAAAGTTATAGGGGCAAATTATTATTGACAAAAATGACACTATATTATTAACATATGTTAATTAAAGAGCTTGATAAATGTGAACATGTATTATCCTGGCTTCCATTTGAGTTTGTATAAGATATAATCGTACTCTAGTTTTGATAATTTTAATGGGCTTCGAACAAGGTAGCTTTCAGCATCAAACTTCACTGTGTTACGATAAACGTGATATTTATAACGTTTTCATTAAAATTCTGATCAAAATTAAATCATGAATAACGGTAATCGAATAATTCGAACTAGAACTTCTTAAGTGAGTGCTTAAAAAAGTATATTGTTTTAGTACATATGCGGTACCATTTTCTCAAATGCTATCAAGACTAATGTCGTCATGGTGACAATAAAAACATATTAAAAAAATAAAAAGAACTAGTCTCAAAGAATCATCATCACAGAAACAAAAGATCCAATTCGAAGCAATTAATTCATTCTATAGGTTTGGAAAGAACAAATGAGAAAACCGAGTTGATCTGTAAAAATATGATGCGGTGAAACTATAATTTATGGACAATCTTTCAGCAACCCTAAATTGATCCAGGAATGTTTACTTACTTAATTATTAGGGTTAAACGAGGGTTATGTATTAGTGTTAGGATTAGGATCTACAGTTGAACGTTGAAGTTAAAAATTAAATTAAATATTCTCATCACGAACTGACATCGACTATAATGCCAAAATGGTATTTATTCAAATGCGTGAATGAATTTCGCGCCAAAATCCAATACCTGCTAACTCATATCTGATTGGTTCGTCCTAAATTATAGTCTCGCCAAAGTTAATTCAACTCAAATGAGTGAAAAACCAAATAAAAACATAAAGTAACAATTGTATATAAAGGAGAAACTTAATATAGTACAGAAAGAATACTGCGAGGAAAAGAATTTCATATCTCTCTATCATTTAGAAGTGAATTAAACAGTATAGTTTTGAGACAGAGAGTAAAAGTAGCCATCAAAAAAATAGATTATGCTGTTAAACTGGTTGTGATTGAAAAGACTATACTTAGGATTCCAAATAGACCTAAAAATTGCACGAACGATCACGTCGCATCTTACGGTATTTACCAATTTATATGTTTGTTTGGACACACATACAAAGGGAGGAGTAATCGAACAATAAAATCAAATGTAATGGAACATATGTCTAGATGGCTTTAGAACCAATTACTGACGAATGCTCCAATAAACGTGGATGTAGAAAACCATGTTCATTGACAGCAAAGCACATAATCGAAACGGGACATAAAATCGACATCAACAGAGCTTTTAAAATGTTGTATATAAATCGTTAAGAACGAATTTTTAGGTTTATAGAAGCCTTGAATATTAAGAAATTCAGTCCTTAACCTTAATTGTACAGAAACAACTTGTTGTAACCTTGAATTTCTCTTGGTAATCTTAAAACCACTTTCTGGTCTAGAGTGGTGCGACAATTCCCTAATCTTTCCATATTGTATTAATTTACCTTTTCAATTATCATATAAAATGTTTTGATAGGTATATATATATCAAGATTGTTCAAAATATATAGTCAGAATGGGTGTTTGTGAAGTAAATTTTAATAGTCGAATTCATGAGTCAATTTAAGCTAGAACACCATGGAAAACCTGGAATCACTGTACGACCGTTTCGTCCTAGTACGGGACTCCTCAGCAGCACGTATTCACGGTCTCGCATGCAGGACTCGAATCCAGGACCACTGAACCAGCACCCAACAATATTAATATTTAACTGCAATCGATCTATGATATCACGCGACCTTTCATCCATTTTCTGAGGTAGATACCTGTCTTTACCCGCCACGGATTGAACTCCACTGGTCACAGCTTTCCATCAGAAGTCTAGGAAATCCATCTTGAGGCCAGTCACTAGTCAGCAATAGTGAGCAATGCTTCGAGGTTTTCAATGGTGGTCTAGCTTAATTCGACTTATGAAATCAACCATCAAAATGTAAAGCTCAAATGCATTACCTTTTTCGGATCGAATTGTTCTTCTCATCGTTCTATTGAAATATCTAATCACTTAAATACTAGTGACTAGCTTCAAGATGAATGCTCATAGATCTAGTGAAAAGCATTAACTGGTGAAGTTTAAACATCTTAAGAATTAAACAATCTTCAGTGATGTTTTTCAATGATCTTCAAGGTATATTGAAAAATTAACTGAAGTCAAAAATATGAACCAATGAATTTCAATTGCATGCTAAATAGTACTTTAACTAACAGTCTGTAACAAATACCTATCAACTAATTCAAATAATCTTTAAAAAACACTTAAACTATGAAAGTATCATCTTTAATGCTTAATTGACTTCTTGCTTGTAATATAATAAATATCAAGTAACGAATAAGAACACTGTACAGTTTTAAAAAGAAACAACAATCTTATACAAAATATTATCATCTTGACCCAGCTAAGTAACTGACAACATATGTTCTTTTATCAGATTAAGGGTTTGTGAAGATTGTAGTATTTTCACAGTTGAATTCACGAGTCGATCTAAGCTAGACCACCACTAAAAACTTGAAAGCACTAGACGGTCGTTACATCCTAGTATCGGACTCCTTTTGATATTTTAGTGTATGTCAATTAGTGATGAAAACCCTAAATTGAATTTCTAATTCCTTGTACACGTGTTTATAACAATTTTATTTAGTCTTAGTTAATAGATGACATGTTTAAAGTCACTTTAAGTGGTCCATAAAATTATAATCTCAACCTGATTACATAAACTTAGTGAATGAGTTTTAATTAATTAATTAATTTTTCATTGAATAATTAATTAATCAAAAAATTCAAGTAGAAATAATTTCATGAACGAATGAATTTTTATTTAATTTTATCAGCTAATTTTTATATTATTGACATTAGATAAACTAGTTGCTGAATAGAAATATGGCAAGTAAATTAAAATTTGATCTATTCAATCATGGTTAAATTGTTTGTGTTTTTTTTACTGGAGATGAGGGGGGTGGTATGTAATGATTGTAGTAATCATATATCAGCATATAATCAGTTCTAATCTTTAAAAAACAAAAAACAACATTGAAAATCTACCAACAGGAAAACAGTAAGAGAAAAAGGTGGGGTAGTGGTTCAATGGTTAAATTGTTCGACTTTTAGTCACTAAGTTGAACATTCATACATCACTTCAGTCTGGGAAACTGGATTGTTCCACTAGCCACAGTCATACTTAATGTATGATTCGAAGATAAGTACACGGATTTGTACCTAGTAAATGAGTAAATATAGTATGGTATAGTCCAAATCTTAACCAACCCTAATATAGATGAGAAATAATCAAGTAATCAGACATAGTATAACACGACATAATGTTTAAAAGTATATGAACAAGCAGACAGAATAGCCATAAGTGAGTATATCAATTACAAACTGCTTAAATACGGTGAGAATTTAACGTTGACTAATGTAAATCCATCAGTTTTTATTAGCTGCTGCTCAAAACAGTAAAACACAAGATTAAGTAATAAATATTGATGACTGGAAAAAATGAAATAACAAAGATTATTAATATCACATATATGCGTACATATGCAAGTGTGAAATCACATGAACATAAATAAAGGAGACATAAAGAGACAGTAATTATCTAGAATTTGAGAACGATCAAAAATATTTATAGGTAAATAGAGTGACTTAGCCATGAAAATTTCATAAACTTTCTGGACAACAACAACACATATCTTAAAAGAAGAAGTTAGTTATTAGAAACTCTCCACACTTAGTTAATAATTTGCCTTGTTGATATATAAGTCTCAAATGACACATTTTAAACTAGAATCTGTCCTATATAATACATAACACATTCATTAAAATTTCTGAACAGTGACATTTAAATCTGATAATTATGTTATTAAATGTGTATTGGTTTACTTAATACATAATGTTTGTATCTTTAATTAGAAATATTTTGATATTTATGCGTTGTTGTCCACCTGATCTAGTAATATCAGTGTACAACAACACTTTCAATGAGCTCTGGGAGAAAATCCATGGAAGAAACAGTATCATCACACTATGGGCAATAATAATAACAATTGTCTACTGTATCATCAAGTATTAAACAGGTATGGTAATAGTTAACATTCTGTAATAATAATAATAATAATAATAATAATAATAATAATATAGACAGCAAACAAAAGTAAACTTTCAAACTTTGCTTCTGCGAAAATAATTCATTGACTATATAATATATATATATATATATATATATATATATATATATATATATATATATATATATATATATATATATATATATATATATATATATATATATATATATATATATATATATATATATATATATATATATATATATATATAATGATCTTGGTCAAAAAAGACAAAAGCGAGAAATTCTATAAAAAAAAGTAAAATTAGCTTATTCCCCAGGTACCAGACTTTGAGCCACACTCGAATCGTAAGAACTAATGATACTATTCGGTTGACTAAGCTGAAATAGATGAAGCGGGGCTCGAAAGTACGATTCATTGGCTGAAATTCGAAGGAACTAATCACTTAGCTACCTCTCCATAATTTATATCATGCACTAATTTTAAGCAACCAGCGAACACCAAGAAGCACTAGACAACTATTTCATCCTAGTATAGGACTCCTCACAGGTGAAGATTCACAACCCAATACAGGACCAAACTCACGATTCTCAGATCTAGCAGTAAGTTCTTAACCTTTCAACCACTAAGTTCGCTTCTAATAGTTTATATATCTAATTTCAATCAATTCACAATATTGTGCAAACAAATTTCATCAACGTTATTGATAGGTAACTGCTTCATACTCGACGAACTGAACTCCGCGTATAACAGTTTTTCACAAGGACTCATGGAGTTATCTCGGTGAGACTGTAATTTATGGATGACCTTTGAACGACGCTCGGGTGACTTCGAGGACGCCTACCTACTGACTGGGGCTAAATGAGGGTTATAAAGCAATGCAAAGAATGAGGATTATGATTTACAGTTGATGGTAAGGGTTAGGATTTAGATTTATGGTTTTTATCATGAACTGACATCAGCTAAAATGACCCAATACCAATTAAAGGAACCAACACAGAAGCTGACCTAATTAGCGAGCACATGATCGTTACCTAGTTGGTTATGTAGATTACCTTGATTCGAAGACTGCTGTTGCATCATATGCTTTAAAAAACGTTGATTCACTAAAATGAATCCACAAAAATACGAGACAAATAACAAGTTCATTTCCTAAACAAAAGCTTGTCATCACACGTTTTATGTAAATGATTCTCAGTTATGAGTAAAATAATTTGAAAATATCATTTACATCACTTTGACCTGCAGAGGAAACAAATATTTTCATATAAAAACCCGAAGCGTAAGAAATACAAAAATTTCTACACTTTTAAGGAGTTCCTGAACAGCTCAAAAATAAAAGCCGTTTTTAAAGCTTTGAAACAAGTAATAAACTGGATTATAAATAGAAGTGGAGTCTATAAGGTGTGTTTCATCCTATCTGGTATTCAACGGCTGGGTGTACCTGGATCCATGTGTTAATATTTACAGAAAATCGAACCTAGCTCTTACTACTACAAAATCCATCGAGTTACCCACTAAGCTACCGAGTTCACATATTCTTTTAAGTCTACCGAAGCTCTGAACAAACAACTAAGTTATGTGTGAAAATCGGAAGTTCAAAACAATAGATTTTGTCCAACATACGATACTATTAACACACAAAAATATGCCAGATATTACATAAACAAATTCATGAGGTTTCTACGGCGTTTATCAGGTCAATATATAATCAATGAAAGCATTTTCTGAACCGGTTATATTGGGATTGTTTAAATTAGTACGATAAGCGGTGAAACTAGTTTACGGACGAACCAATTAGATAGCGTGTCTTAAACTTTGGCGTGAAATTTGCCAAATGGCATTTCGGCATTATACCTGCTGCCAGTTCATGGAAGAAACCCTAACTATAAATCCCGATTTCGATTTCTCACAGTAATTTATAACCCTCTTTAGATTCTAAGTTTAATTTCCTCAGGGTCAATTCGGCGTCTTTTGAAAGTCGCTCATAACAACTAGCAGCTAAGTCAAAATGACAACACTGGACATGCCATATTATTCTTATTGTTCCGTTGTACTATTTAAACTTGGATTAGTTTTAATTTGGTTATTTATTCTCTGAAGAAGTGACTTACACTAAGTCACGAAACGTCAAAACATCTAATTTTCCACTCATTAGGATATTACAAATATATTATTTATTTATAACAATCTACCCAATGCTCAATTTATTCGAAATTATCAAATCAAGCCTTGGTAATGATACCTATAAGTTACTTAATGTTGATAAGTAGTATAATGTAATATGCAAAAGGTAGTCGGTTCAGGAAGAAACGGAGATCAGAAGTGCAAACAGAATTAACGTAGACGCTGAGTCGTTTACATCCATACTAATATCTCTTAAGTGAATAATGTATAAAAACTGTTCAGAAAAAACACAAACTTCTGGGTCTATTAATATGTAATCGATCAATATTTCCGAGGGAATAAAAAAATAACACAATACCCTTAAACTGATTGGTAGCAAAGTGTAAAATACATTCGGCTTTTGAACAATCAGTACTAACCTGGGACCCAATTACTCAATTGAATTCAATTCAGCAATCTAAATGGTGGTAGTATCAAGGTGTGGAGACGGACTATTAAGTACGATTTCACAGGTCGAACCCCACCACGCTTACTTTCGTTTGGGTAACCGGTTAGTATCATTAGCTGCCTGGACTTAGAGTGTAGCTTATACTCAAGTATCTGGTGACTGAATTAACATAGTAGTACGGAAATCTCTTACAGCAAATGTCCTACTCAAATCCTTGTACATTTTTACTCACCATCTATATTGTTCTGGAGCAGTTAAACGTGTATTTTGAAAGTAAAGTAATTCAAACTAAAAAAAACACGGAAATAAAAAAACAGTAGTAATAATTTCAACAAACGAATAATATGAAATATCAATCAGAATAACGCATATAAGGGAAGAATATTGTTTTCAATTAGATCATCATCAGATGATACTCTAAAATACATTAATATTTATATGAAAATATTAAACCAATCAAGGCAATTTATGAGTCAATGATCACAATGAAACAGATTGCATAACTAACTACACATAATAGGTGAATAGGACAAATTGATAGTAAGTGGGCATGTGTACTAGAAATAGTGATAAGTATAATAAAATAACAAAAGTTCTGGTCAATAGTTCAGATGTTGATAAATAGACTTTAAAACAATAATCACAAAACATTGTCAAAATTACTCAATGAGAAGTGTGTAATTGATTATATACTGAAGACGACAAGGACAGGGGTGTCACAAATTTATTTTGAACACATAAACTAGGGGTATGGGGTTCGAATCGCTATAGCTTCTGTTATAAGTAGGAGACGAGACCGGACCGTAAGGAGAAATGACAGTGTACAATTCGGTTTTATCTATTATATGCCCACCGTCAACCAGGTGTGCCAAGACAGAGCTACGTATTGTTTTTGACTGACCATTTCGAAACCAAGTAATAGACAACAAGATCTGACATGAAAGTCTACTTACTAAACTTAAATCTCATATAAATTACAGATTTAGAGAAAGAATAGTAAAAAAATACATCTATGTTACCGTGACTGATTTTGAGTTATGTTGTATAATCAAACAAGGATAGTGACTGAAAATAAGCAAAGACTATAACTATTCAATCAGTTACTTTACTTGGTGTTGCTATCCAGTGTAAGTAAACAAAATTTGATCCAATAAATAAAGATTGCATTATTCAGTGATCAAATGACGATACTTGAACAATAATAGTTTATTCCACATAGATATTACCCCCCCAAATGCCCTGCTACGGCTGAGGGTGGGGGGAGTCCGTTCTCTCTCTCTCTCTCGAAATGCCATCACATGGCTACTGCCAAGGAAGTCCTACTCACTGCCTTCTCATGGCGCAGGTGCTGTTTACTAAATTGAGAAGGCGAAAATCGGATGTCCGGTGCTTTAACTGGGTTAATGGGTTTGGAGGATCCACCTAGAGAAGTTGGAAAATCCTGACTCCAAACCAATGGCTCCAGGATCCTGAGGAAACAAATGGCGTATGAACCAATTATTGATCACAAGCTGCCATGAGACTGCATCTCCTGACGTTGCTTCACTGCCTTCCGGGCGTGGCCCCCTGAGAAAATCACCTGCTTCAGTCTGGGCACCCGGGAAGTATCACAGCCTACACACAAATCAAGTGACTTCTGTGGCGCACAGAGTAGGCATCCTATGGTGTTAATGTCTAACTTAAACTAATCCACGAAATTGAGCGACGCATCCATATCCATATTTAAATTTGTCCCTAGTTCATTCTACAAACCATAAGCTTCCGTTTGATGTGATTCACTGCCATACCTTTTTCTGTCCCAAAGCTATTATAATTTAAACGCAAACTTTAGTATTGTTTTTTCTACCCTAATACCCAGTTTAGACGTAATTGTATTTTTCCAATTGTTTGTGAGTTGTGGTCGTGCTAGTCATCTATTTATTCACTAAACTGAAGTGGAAGTAAACCGTATGGTGTTCCAGTTGGCTCATCTTCTCTCTCGCATGTCAACCAATTAGGTGATAGAACAGTTTTCATCTCTTTACCCGAAGTATTTAGTCCGCATTCCCAACTCACACATTCTAGAATCAAGGTTAAACCCATTAGCCTATCGTTCCAAGGCTTTAGCCTATATCGAGAAAAATTCTCTCCTGTATATTATTGGGTAGACAGATCAAGGATGTAGCACATCCATTATTAGCTAAAATCTATATATATCCTAGAGTTTCAATGAGAAGCAATGACCAGTGGAGTTCTACCGGGTCTGTTGTGAGATAGTAACTAACTGAAGACAGTGAAAGATGTGTCACCCAATTTCATGGGTTTGTCGAAGTTAAACATTAACACCGTTGGATGCCGGCCAGCTCAGTGATCTAATGGCTAAGCGCTCGCGCGCGAGACTGATAGGTCCTGGGTTCGAATATCGCGAGGCGAGTTCGTGGATGCGCACTGCTGAGGAGTCCCATAATAGGACGAAACGGCCGTCCAGTACTTCCAGGATTTTCATGGTGATCTAGCTTCAATTGATTCATGATCTCAACTATTGAAATTACTACAATCTCTATAAAACCCCTTGCGATAAAATCTATCTATTGTAAAAGAAATTGAAACAAAATAGTTATATCAAGGCGATCCGCACAACATGAACATATGTGAGCGGAGAACTAATCAAAATTAAGCGCTAAATATCAATAATGAGATAATTCAGAACTTTTATTAACTAAAACTTACATATATCATTTACATAATATCAATAGTTTATAAATATTGATACAATTTACTTACCAATGACTGATTAATTAAATATTCGAAAAAATAAACTGAAACTAGACAAAATAATGAACTAATCATTCCCTATATTGAATAAAAATTAATAAAAAAGAACAGATAACAATGATATAACAGTAGATAAATGAATAGATAATATCGGAATTAAATTTTAATTTATTTTCCCGTTGATCAAATGACTATAATCATTCAAGAAAATACACAGTTAGACAGAAAAATTTATATCACTGTTTATTGTATATGTATATTTACATTTTCGAAAAAGATTACAATTTTCGGCTGTATACATGGTTACCTGTTTTTAGTACAGTCCTGCTAAGACTCTGTGTGCTACAGTATAAGGACTTATTTGAGAAATCCATCTGTACGTAATTACTTCCTACACACTCCGAGACTCGAACCCAGTACTGTTCGCTTCAAACGCCATCGCGTTATCCATATAGCTGCTAAGTTCAAACAACCACTGGATTGTGCAATAGAGTGGCACAGGTGCAACCATTCTTTATTTTCCCCAAATCCTGAGATTCAAAATCCCTCACAAACATTTTTATTTTTATTTCACCAATTTATATTTTCTTTTCAAGTCACACAGTCAATACCTAATATTTCCTAATACCACTAATACTGTTACTACATCTGCTATTCAAGGATTTGGTCTGACAACTTGATATCTATGTGTTAATAGGATATGACAACTTGAACCGACGTACGTACACACAGGTTCTAAGTGTGTGACATATATATATGAGGTTAAATTATTTTTAGAAAAATTGGGCCGAAACAAAAGTTATAAAAATGAATATTTTTCTATTTCTATGAATACAAACATTTTCAGCCATCAACTAGAGAACCAAAAAACATCCAGGAAATGATGAACACCTTATTTCGTTGCTGACAATGAGCGGAAAAGGGAAAGAGGTGGTCAGCTACTGAAATGACACTAAGGTATAAACGACAAATGAATAAGATTGGCATCCGTCAGATCACCATGACCACTTTAGTTGAAGTCCTAGGGATGGTGCAACCTAGTGGCTTCAGAAATTGTCATTACATAGATCAGAACAAAGTTCAGTGGAAATCCTAACATGGTTTGCTTGGTACTCTTCATAAAATTAAGAAGTACTCCCCGAACTGAAAGAAGTCTTTCTTGGTTGCATTGCTAACTGAACTGCATCTCCTTTTAAACACTATTGTCATTCACTAACTTTTTCAGTTATACTAATCTACCTCCCTTTATTTCTTCTAAATGTTATCTTTTGGTTTTATGTAGAGCAGATCATTTTTGCTGAAGAGTTGGTCAGAGTGCATGTACATTAAAGAAATAAACATTAATGTCTAACTTCAATCGATCCATGATCCTGCGCAGCCCTTCATCCATTGTATGAGGTGGATAACTGCTTCACACCCGACACGGATTAAAATCTACCGACCACAGCTTCTCACTAGAACTCCAAGAAATCCATCCTGAAGCTAGTACCTATTTATTTATTTGTTTAAACACATAAACATTGGTACAACGGGGTACCGAATACATATGCGCCACGTAAATCATTCGATTTGTGTAAGGGCTGGGATACTATCCAAGTGCCCAAACCGAAGCACGTGGTTTTCTTAGGGGCCACTCCTCAAGTCTTTGACCTGGAGGTCTAATCTATAAGGTGGTGGGGCAACGGTGGGAAATGCAGTCTCAGTGTAGCCGGCGACCAATAATTGGTTCATGCGCCATTTGTTCCCTCAGAATCCTGGAGCCCATGTGCACTACTGGCTTGGAATTAGGGTTTTCCAACTCCCTTAGGTGGATCCTTCATATCCACCAACCCTGTTAAAGCTCCAGACATTTACTTTTCGCCCTCTCAAGTTCGTAAACAACAGTAATGCCACGAGAAGGCAATGAGTAGGACTTTCGTGACAGTGGTTGTATGCACGCGGCTATGTAAGAGAATTTCGAGAGAGAGAGAGAGCGGACTTCCTCAAGCTCGGCCGTACCAGGGCATTTGAGAGTAATTCTTATTCAAGAACAGACTGTTAAAAACACAGTCATATCAAATACATATTGGAAAAAACTCACCTTCAACAGCTGTAGTTTTATTTTCCATGTAGGCTGTTGTTGATGTAGAACAGGTAGAGATGAATTATTGGAAATTTGTGAATTGTCATGATAAACCATGTCATCCTCATTTCTCAGTTGAATATACCCATCACAATTAGTGATTACATCATTTTCATTAACAGCCTCAACTAAATTGTCATCATGACATACATTTGTGGGAAGAGAAAGAAACTACGTATATTAAATGGATGATACAAGTGTTTGCTATTAAAGAAATATATGAAAAATATTCCTTGTACAAAGTAAAGTCGTTGGATTGTTAAGAACTATTCCAGTAACGTCCGAAAAATGTGAAATCCAAGAAATAAACTTTGTGTTGTTTAGTGTTCATCAGTAAGAAGTACGCTGAATAGATAGTTTATGTACGCTGTACCTACTGGTATTTTGTAAATCCTGAAATTCACACAACGTTTTATCAATACATATCTAACTACTTTTTCTTAATGAGTAGTTAAAGTAATAAGTGTGAATACTTTTGGAACTTACTGTGCTCTGACTCTTCACTGGTTACTAACTCGTTTATCCTTTCTGTTGACATCGTGGAATTGCCCGATGAAACCATAGGGTTGAAACACAGTCGAAATTTTTCATGTTGAGGTCTGTCTAGAACAAAGAAATACCTAAGAGAAAATTGTTCATAAGTATATATCAGTTGTTTGTAATTATTACTATACTTATTATAATCATTTATAAAATGGTTATCAGAATGTTCTCCGTACTGATAATGTATCCTTAGAACTAAAACTGTTGCAAATTATTAATCTTCCTGTCATATGTTTCTAAGTAAACAGTGGGATGTAGTGATATTGCATGACTACGATATATTCCCAATGCATATCGAAATTTTACTATTATCTTAAAAAAGAATCCATATTGTACTCCGGGATTTTATTTCGGATGTAGTGTACATCACTACCAAATGAACTACCTCAGTGATCAACATCATACTGTCGAAGCGATAAATGTAGAACTATGTGAAATAAAAAGACCAATGTGCTGATTATCAACAATAATAAATTGCAAACACACACCGGTGCAGAATAGCATGAATTCATTTTATTTCGTTAGGTTTTCATCAGCTGCTTACAAGTTATGATATTTTGAAGTCAAAGTTATTACAGATAGTGATTTACTTATAAATACGAAGGTAATTAGAGATGAATATGTGTATCATGACGTCGCGAAGATTTCAATAGAGTCAATAAGGTCATAGAAAATTTTTTTGTTCCAAATAAAGTGTGACAGGGAAAGTTTCAGAACATCTAACTAGTAATTAGAAATCATAGAGTTAACAAACACTAGACGGTTGTGTAATGAAGTAACTGGAAACAGATTAATGGTAATAAAGAAAGATATGAATTGAAGAAAAATGATGGTGATGTAATCAAACTTTAGAAAGAGTTGATATAATGAATGATGCAGTAAAAAATGTAATGTTACCAGGACAAAGAAAGATTTATTACTGCTTCTTTTTGGATACATAGATCCGGTTTTAGACTTTTGATAGCTATCGCCTAAGCGAATTACAGAAGATTGAGGCTCGACTGTTTATGACTCATCTTGAAAGACTTCAGTGTACCCACTTGATATCCTGCATCAAGATGTCTTGAGATGATACTGCTGAATACCTTTAATCCACTTGACCTCAGACGTTTTGGAATATGCTCTTTGAATCGGACTTAGGCTTCCCGTTCTGTCCTCCCAATATAACTGCTTCGGAAGATACATGTTATTCTGTATACACAGTTAATGGTAACACGTAAGGGATACCTATAGATCTTTGTGTTAAAGAACATGTTGTTTTGGACAAGATAATCAGTTTAGCTGGAGGGTAAGCTCTTGTCAATGCAGTCTTTAGTCTTTTGTTGATTGACCCTGTTACATCATCACCATTGAATTTAAGTTGATTTTAAAATATTATAGGTTGCAAACAGCTGATGAGAACTTAACGAAAATGGATTTATATTATTCTGCACCAATCTTTGTTTTTGCTCTCTTTAACAATAAATTTCTTAGTTCCGGTAGTTATGTCTAATAGATGTTAGGTGGTTGGCTGCAACTAGATATAATTCATCATGTTTACTTCAAAATAGGAACTAAAAACACATTGAGATGTTTGATGATTTCTCAATAGAAAAGGACACTAAATCAGGTTGCTAACCTCATTAAAGTTGAAATCCGTGAACTGACTATTTTGGTTACATTACATCGATACAATCAAATGATAGACTACTTTTTGGTATTAAAAAAAGCGAAACAAATAAGATGGTGTCATATGTTTGACTTTAAACTAAATATACGCAGATAATAAATCGAATGTGACGTAACAGACAAAAAACAAACTAAATTAGTACTTAACAATAGTACCTGCGCTTTATATTCTGTGTGTGCGTAGTAATCAATTATTTAACTTGATGACCAATAACAACTTTATATACTGTTTTCGGCTAAACTTAATGTATGAAAGCGAGATATGTAATAGTGTGGTGTGAGCCTCTTATGTGAACACATATAAATAGTATGTAGTGGAATGCTTACCAGCAAAAGATTGAAATAAAGTGAGCAAGAAGGAAGACAGAGAGTAATCGGAATAGCGACAGAATTAGAAAAATGATGGAGTATGTAAAGGACAATTGAAGGAAGGTGTGCAAATGTTGTACTCAATGTATGGTTTTTATATTTTACAAAGGCAATGTGTGATTTTCATAAAATAATAAACCGGTTTGCCGTACCAGAGTTTTCGTTTACTACAGTAGTATTAAAACTTAATAACTTCAAGGAAAGTCAGAAACGTTTATACAACGATTAAAGGAGAAAGAGAAAAGCGTCAAAAAACTATCCCATTATGCATGTACCTTGAAATTTACAACTTATTTATCAGGTACAAATCATTGTAATTGGTTTAGAGTCGAACTAGAAATGTGTTAACAGCAAATGATACTACCCGGTTGTTTAAATCGAAGTAGATAGAACGGGATTTTAACCAGTGGTTTAGAGGCCGAAAATTGAACATCTCAACCATTAAACGATAACCGTATCGGATGTATTTTATTAACATTTTTATTATTTCTACTGGACTAATTAGATAGCGTTTTATAAAGAAATAGAAAGGGAGTTTGCCTTTTATTACCTCTTAGTAATAAACGGATTTTAACAGAAAGAAAGTGATATGAAAAACCCTTCCAAACTACTGTTAGAAAGGTTTTAAATTATCTAGTTCTGCATTGCTTTTGTTAATAAATGACAGTTCTAACAAATAAAGAAGTTTTCGATAGATTTTTTTCAGTACATATTATTATCTATCTGGTCACTTTCGTTTTCGATCTACTATTTTTGTTCCGCATCTCAAAGTCATAGTTGTTGCTGTGCATAAAAAGAATTATTGTACCGTGATGTTGACTTTTTGAATATCAAGCTTTTCCCGAATTCCTATTTTAAGAAATCAAACTCATACAGTAGATTATTATTATTATCAATGTTATAAGAAAGCTCCCTAGAAGTACATGTAAATCCCAGTTGCATGAACAGACATTTTTCGATCGTTTGTAATTCAGAAAAGTTGTGAGTTAACTTAATATTAAAAAAATCATATAACAACTTACACTAACAATGTAGTACATGGAACCACAATGACAATACATAACGTAATTTCCGGTGTAGTTATTGATGTCAAACCAACATAATAAAGTGAACCGATCAGACCGGCTGCACCCGTTCCACATGACCAAGCCGAAATACAAGATCTAGAGAAAAGTTTGCCCCACCCCCGAACAAAAATCGTCAATTATTTTAAACCACGTATTGATGAAATCATAAAATAGTAATGTATTTTGTATATGAGATCAAAGAGCAAGTTGAATACGCAAGTAATCAACAAACACAAAATAATTGATTAGGTGACTAATGAGACAAATGCGTATAGAATCCATAGAGTAGATAAAACCCTATGAGTTTGTAATACGATCATTAAGCTGAGTGATTACTCTCTTTTTTATGAAGGATGATTTAATGACTCCACGTAAAAGATGATTAAAAATTGTTAAATGAATGAAAAGAATTATGATCGACAGATGAAATGTATAACAGATCACAATACTGGATTATTATTGCAAACCCCAGCACGAGCTGACATTAAAGGTGTTTTTAATCAATAAGATAACTTCTTTATACGCAAACTGTTGACAAAAAGATGAACGTGATTAGATATCATAGAAGAATGAACGAAATCAGTTTTGTAGGTCACGTAATCTTCAATGAGTTATGATCTGAATATTAGATCAAACTTTTTGTCACCACATTAACATTACAGTAAATTATGACTTATGTCAGAAACTTAGACGTAGTCTCAAACAAGTGGATTTTACAAGTCAACTGTAACAGTTAATCTAATCTACACCAATGCTTTACATTATGATGTTAACTGACTGAAGGTAGTCAGTAAGAAAATCTAGAACTAGGTTTCGTGATGGTTGAGGCTCATCAACAAGGTTTGCCTCGAACCTCGAGGGAACAGATGTTTTTTTCCAAATATGAATACACGTCACCCATCTTCATGGTCTGAGATGTTGCCAGTGATCTACTCCAGCCTCGAGTAACTTTTTACAAGAGGTGTAGGTAATGTCTAACTACAGGCATCAAAAGCAAAATATGTTACCTACTGGATTTTTTCATCCAGATGGCATGTATGGAGTGGACTACGAAAAACTATCGCATTTTGACGAATATCAGAAATCCGTAACAGTTTTTAAATGTGGAGTGGCCGATGGACCTTGATAAACAGTAATCTCAATGAAGTGTAAAACGAAATAACTCGATTCAGTTTAAAATTTGTCATTTCTAGCACAAAGGGTAATAGGAATGAGGAAATACCATTTGGATGATTAATACACAGCATGCATGACAAAATTTTGACGCAACTTCAACAAGATTTGCGCTTGCTAATAAGACCAGGGAAACTAAGCCCCCAAACGCCCTGGTACAGCCGAGAGTGGGGAATCAGCTCTCTCAAAATGCTATCACATGACCACGTCCTACTCACTGCCTTCTCGTGGCATTACTGTTGTTTACGAACTTGAGAGGGCGAAAAGTAAATGTCTGGAGCTTTAACAGGGTTGGTGGATATGAAGGATCCACCTAAGGGAGTTGGAAAACCCTAATTCCAAGCCAGTAGTGCACATGGGCTCCAGGATTCTGAGGGAACAAATGGCGCATGAACCAATTATTGGTCGCCGGCTACACTGAGACTGCATTTCCCACCGTTGCCCCACCACCTTATAGATTAGACCTCCAGGTCAAAGACTTGAGGAGTGGCCCCTAAGAAAACCACGTGCTTCGGTTTGGGCACTTGGATAGTATCCCAGCCCTTACACAAATCGAATGATTTACGTGGCGCATATGTATTCGGTACCCCGTTGTACCAATGTGTACGTGTTTAATTAAAATAAAAAATAAGGTAAGTATGGAATATAAATACATAACCCAAAGCCCTCCGAAGCTAATATCTGTCCTAAGCTAGAGTAAGCAATGGCTGAGAGAAGAGTTTACGATCCCACCTCGTAAAAAGAAACCCAATAAGCAGTCGTTAGTCAAAGAAAATCGATTAGATACAATGTCGAAAGCTGATGAGCATACTTGTCAAAGAAAGCTACCATGCTTAAGAAAGTAACATCTCCGATTCCTGAAGATAAACTTGCCGACACAATCCCTAAAAATATTTTTCAGAAAGAAAGGAATCAATTAACAATGAGTTAAGATCACAAAAAAGAAATATGACAGTTTCTAGTCGGTTTAACTGTTTATTAATAATCTATTTCACTCATCATTATTACAGAATACACTAACTATTTGCATATGTGAATAGAGTACCAAACGCGTTCATTATCTCCAATCTCATAAAAATCGTATTCACCACAAGATACATTTTATACAATATAAGCAGATGACGTACACTTTCAGAAAGGGATTTACGGATATTGTACATATATTTTACTAACGTGTGGAATAAGATAGCACATACATTTTGTCTTGGATGCCACTGTTAGTTACTACCAAACTTTAAAAAAACACTAATGATTAGATGGGAACATTGGAGCGATTAGCTCAGGATGCACGGAGATCGATCAGCTGAAATTCTTAGCATCAACAATCCTTGCCTATTTGTTCCTTAATATTACAATGTTTTAAAACACTTTTATGATACATCAAACAATTAACACAAATACTTTCTTTATTGATATTATTTAATTGATCAATAAGAAAATACTATTATCAGAAGTTTAAGCCAGTAAGTTTTGATTCAAGTAGGGCTAATAAAAACATACTGTTATGAATTATGTTCCCTACATGATCTTTTGCTCAGATCCCAAGTTCGAAAGAAATAAACATTAAACTGGTAAAATTAAGCCGAAAATGCTTACCAAAAAGACTCGTAGATAAAGACTGGGAAAATGAAACCATCAGAAAACTATTAATGGCCAGTAGGACAGCGCATAAAATTTTGAAGCTAAAAAAAGAGATCGGCAGTCTGTTAAGAGCAAATATCCCCCAATAAGCAACTTACGTAAGAAGTACCTAACTTATTATAAAATGAAAAACCAAGCAATTTCGAAAGGATTTGCTAAACTTAAATGTTACTTGATAATTTCAAATAAATTGAGTATTGGGTAGATTGTTATAAATAAATAATATATCTAATTTTTCTACTCAGTGGGATATTACAAATATATTACTTACTAAATGTCACTTTTTATATTGAAACTAAATATGAGAGAAATTTAATGTGACTATCATAACTGTCGAAAGATCACAGCTACCGGATGCTGAAACATAATATTTTATCGTACATCAACTGTGATAGTTAATACAATTTCAGCAGATACTACAATGGCTCTCACCAAGATTTTAATTGATTGAAAGTAGTCGGTAAGAAACTCCAGATTGTGATAGCTGGAGCTTGTCAATAAGGTTTGTTTGCATCCTTAAGGGCATTGATACTCTCCAATGGATTCGGATCCGCGTCACCCAACTTCATCCCGACCGTAGCTGCTACCTAAACACGGTGGTCGGGCTTGCCTATCATGATGACCCAACCGAGCTATATTGGCTGGAACATATGTTCCTGTAGGCGCTACCATGCCAGGCAGGTCGATTGGAGAACGGTAAGACTAAAAGCAGCAACTCAAGGTCTGAGGGCGAAGTCGTAATGCTGACTGTACAGAGGTGTGACAGCAGTAAGGTGTTTCCCTTGGACAACCAGTATCTGCGGGGATGCTGCCTTCTCACAAGGAAGGAAGGGGTTAGAAAAGGTTGACCCTAAAAATGTCACACCTCACCTTACCCCACGGATTCCCGTCTCCGGTGGTAAGGCCGTTTGAAGAACGGAGCTAACACATTAAAAACCTCCCACAAAAAGGCCGTGCGCGACCGGCCTCAAGCAGTTGTCCCTTGGGCTCTCTCTTATCTCCACGACTAACTCTTCTCACGTCCCTTTATCACCTCACCCCACTAGTGCGAACGATTCGAGTACGCGGAATGTTATTCCTGGTCTCCTGAAATCACTCTCTAAACTACACGTAGGAGCTTTCAACGTCCGAACACTGTGCCAAATAGGACAACAGGCTTCCTTAGCTAGGACTTTGGAATCTCGCACCATCGATGTGTGCTGCCTCTCCCAAACGCGCATACAGGATCCGAGTAGTGTCATTCATTTGACCTCATCATGTCAAAGTAACGAACCAACTCGATTTACGCTTCGTGTATCTGGAAGCCCTGATGCTGCTTCCCGTGGCCTCGCTGGCGTAGGTATAGCATTGAGTCCTAGGGCAGAACTAGCTCTCTTAGACTGGATCCCAGTAGACAGTCGTTTGTGCGCTGTCCGACTAAACGGAACAGTAAGGACTCGGAAAGATAGGGACACGTCGTTGCCTCTTCGTCGTCTCTGCCTACTCTCCCACTGACTGCAGCTCAGATGATGTGAAATATGAGTTTTACAGAAAGCTTTCCGACCTTCTCCGAAAAGCTAGGCGTTCAGATATAGTAATAGTGGCTGGTGACTTTAATGCTCAACTAGGTAAACAAAGCGAAAGGAAAAGACAGCTGGGTGGATCTTATGGTGTCGCGGCTCAAAGAACAGATAACGGCGACCGTCTGTTGCAGCTATGCTCAGATAACCGCCTGTTACTTGCAAACACTAACTTTAAGGATAATGAAAAACATCTTTTGACATGGCGACCCCCTAATTCGTCCCAACGTTGGACCCAAATAGATCACATCGCTATCAGTCACCGACGGAGGGGCTCGATAGAAGACTGTCGCTCACTCTGGAGCACATGCTTAGACTCAAACCATGCTCTAGTGCGAGCGCGTATTTGTTTACGTCATACTGGACGTAGGAAAGATGGTGCAAGTGTAGTGAACAAGAACACCAACGGGGACAATCAAATGTATTTGACAACAAATTACAGAATTAGTTAGTGAAATCTAACCATATATTAAATGCTCAATTTGCAAAATGTCCATCAATTGTCTCAAATCACTTAGAATTCCTTTGTTCTTGCATTTTCATACAAATTGCATTCTGTCTTCATTCTTTACTGTTCGATCTTCTCGTCTCTGCTGCCAGACATTCTGTTCACGACTCACGTCATATACTACATATGTCTACATAAGTAGCACACAACACACAAGGAAACCCCTTAGGGTCCTACTTAATGATAGTCACGCTAAGAGTATATTTCAGGAACAACTAGAAAAACAGTTAGGCAGCCATGTAAGTGATGCCCACCCCGAGGCAGCGTGGAATGACATCCGAAAAGCTGTAGAAACAGCAGTGACGTCTGCAAGTACGGTAAATCATAAGGTTAGGGAGAAACACTGGATCTCAGCAGCATCTACCGCACTGATAGATGCTCGTAAACTCATTCCATCTGACTCTGAACATAACGAAGAGCGGAGTCAGCTTAAGCGCAAGCTGACAAGAAACATACGCAATGATCGTGAACAGTGGTAGGCAGTGAAAGCAAGAGAGATGGAAAAGGCAGCAGCAATAGGCAAAAGCAGACAACTGTTCAGACTTGTTAAGGAAACCGGTATTAGGAACCCAACTGTTAGCGAAACTATCTCAAAAAAAGATGGACATATTATTCATTCTCAATCCAGGAGATTGGATCGATGGGCAGAACACTTTAGGGATCAGTTCAACTGGCCTTCAGCCACACTTCGGTTTCCCACGATCTCCAGTCTACCTTAATGGCAAGTTAATGTAGGTCCTCCGACTCTTTACGAAGTTGAAAAAGTTATAAGAAATCTGAAACTTGGGAGAGCAGCAGGCCCTGACAGGTTTACACCAGAGAATTTTAAGGATGGCGGTACAGTATTAGCAGCGAGATTGACTGAGGTCTTAAGCAGAATCTGGGAACTGGACGTAATCCCATCTGACTGGTCTCAATCACTGATTGTGCCAGTCTATAAGAAAGGACAAAAGTCTTCTTGTGACAATCACAGAGGAATTAGTTTGACTAATATAGTGTCTAAAATATTAGCTTCAATATTACTTCGACGCCTAACCAAAGCTCATGAAGAGCAGACTAGAGAAAACCAAGCTGGTTTTCGACCTAAACGTAGTTGTATAGACCAGATATTCACACTACGTCAGGTCCTAGAACATAGACATACATTCAGACGTCCCACAATGGTAGTATTTCTCGACCTTAAGGCGGCATTTGACTCGGTTGATCATGAGGTTCTATGGCAGTGTTTGTCACTGAAAGGAGTACCAAAGAAGTACATTAACCTTATAAAGGCTCTCTGCTCGAACACAACTGGTCGAGTGAGAGGTTATGGTGAAGTGTCATCAGAACTGATTACCTCAAGTGGTGTTCGTCAGGGCTGTCCACTCTCTCCATTCTTGTTTAACTTTGTCGTTGACGTGCTTTTAGAAATAACGTTTTCCTCATCTAAATTTCCAGGGGTTGAACTTCTACCGGGAGATTCACTTATTGACTTAGAATATGCCGATGACATAGTTCTATTTGGTGAAGACGCTGACAAAATGGAGGGTCTTCTGACCACTCTAAGTAACAATAAAGGCATGTTCGGCATGCGATTCTTTACCTCGAAATGCAAAATGTTGCTTCAGGATTGGGTCGCATCGATACCCAAACTAATGATAGGGAGTGAAGTTGTTGAGCGTGTCGACCACTTCACTTATCTTGGAAGTCTCATCAGCCCTTGTGGTCTGGTGTGTGACGAAATCTCAGCACGGATACAGAAGGCTGGACTACCTTTCGCCAACTTGCGTCATTTGTGGCGTAGGCCAGATATCCGTCTATCAACCAAAGGACGTGTTTACTGTGCAGCAGTTCGTTCCGTCCTACTTTATGGCAGTGAAACATGGCCAGTAAGAGTAGAGGATATTCGTAGGTTACTAGTATTCGATCATAGATGTCTTCGAAACATTGCTCGTATGTCATGGGACCACCGAGTAGGTAATGCAGTTGTTAGCAAACAGGTACTAGGTAAAGATGATAAATGAATTGATGAAGTAGTGGAACTTCATCATCAGTTGAGATGGCTGGGACACGTGTTACGTATGCCCAACCACCGACTGGTGTAGGAGTAGGTTGGAAGAAAGCTAGAGGCGGCCAGACCAAAACATGGCACAAATCCATCAAGTCACTGACAAGTGGACTGAGCCATGTTGGTAGGTGTAGACTACCTGGTTGGGGTCCGCGAGACGATAGCAACCGATGGTTAGAGATCTTGAATGATATGGCTCAAAATCGTTTGCAATGGCGCAGGTGCACCCACTCTTTTTGTTCTCTCAAACTCTAATCTTCTGAATTCTTCATGTCCTTTATTTTCTTTCTAAATTTATCCCACTGGGTTATACTCCTTAAATAACTTCATCAAACCCTAATGTTCCCTATTACTACTTATACTCTCACTACCTCGACCACTATGGGATTTGAATCGATAACTAAATCTCTGTGCTAATATGGTATAGCAACTCGAACTGATGTACGCACGTACGAAGTTCCACGTTGTTACTGACTGACTGACTGACACCCAACTTCACAATATGAGACGTTACTGATGAGTTATTCCTGCCATAACTGACTTTTAGGAGGTGCAGGTGATCTCATGCCGCTCAGACTAGTGAACTCAACTTGAATGGACAAATATAATGATTGTGACTGCCCAATGATCACGGTAGATTATGGATTATTTTACATGTTTCAGTAAACTAGATTATAAGTTAAGGTTAAACTGCTTTCAAAAAAGCACTTACTGAAAATGAAGTTTTTGTATGAATATTGGAGAAATAAACTTGAAAATCATACTCGGAAGTATATCTGCCAACAGGACACTCTATAAAAAAGAATTAAAAACAACAAAAACATACTCCTGTTCCAATCTCTGTACAGTTTATGTGATACGTACTGATGTTCGTAGTGAATTTAATCTGTGACTATGAAATGAAAAGATAAAAAATAGAAAGTTGATTCAAAATCAGTTAACAAGTATTATTTGCAATTCCTTAGGAAGATCTAATACATAGTTTATATATCTTACTGTAACTACATGAAAAAAATCGTACCTAGGAAGTTGTTACGAAGCTTTCGGGTTTATCTAAGCGTAAATGTGAACTTATACGTTATACTGCTGAAAAAATCCGCTAATATTGAAAGGATTAACTACTTTACAAACTCAGTGTAAGGATGGTCTAGAAAGACAGACTGGGCTATTTCCTAATCGACCAAGCTTTGTCAATGAATCAAAGTAGATCCCATGGAATATATATTTTGAGTCAGGGTTATTCGTGTCCTCGAATTAGTTGGATCAAACTGAATGACTCTACTTAGAGTAATTGAAAGGAAATAATTCCGCTAATAATCAGATCTTCATACGGAATAGTTTGAGCTAAATTTCTTGCCAGTTCGAGCTTAAGGGTGTGGAACGGATTAAAGACGTAATGGTCCCAGGTTTGAACCCCACTCAATCAAATTTATTTTAAGCTACTGGATAGGATCACTAACCCTTATACGCAAATGAAGGCATAAACGTTTACGCTAAACAGAGAGAAATACAAACTTTATCACCCTTCACGAAGCCAAAATCTAGCTAAGGAGATAGTGCAACGGGTTTATATACTCGGCTTTGTAACATAATGAGTAGTTTGTGAGGGATTACAATACCAAATTAGATAGGAGAGGTTAGAAACAATATAATTACCGGAGCATTTTAACAGGTAAAGTACTTTTAACAATGGCTTCACTGAGACAATTCATAAGTACTTTTGGAAAAAACCATCTTACGTTTTGTTGTTTTCGTATAATATCCACAGCTGCACTTAACATAATAACATATGAAAAATTATTCCCCAAACCGAAACACCTGTGACGGATTTCCACAAAATTTCGTTTAAATGATATATTAGTTACCAAAAAGCTAAGTAATTCCGAAGTTTCCAATTATTGCAACGGTAACGATATCTGCAACACTCTGAAAAATTATTTTAAATACCGTCACATATCAAATCGGCAACTACCACTCAACATCCCGGAGTAAATATATTACTTATCAGAGAAAAATGGATGCACAAATCAAATAAAATATTGAAGACAAGCGGATCAATTTATGAATAGAAAAGACAAATTACCCCTAAAACGTGTGGAATTCGGTGGGAACAATCTTTAAATAACAGTTAACGTTTTGATGGTTAATATCAAATACGTATAGGGGCATAAGTCGTCGGAGTGGAGGCATTAAACTGAAATCATTAAAACTAGTATCATTGAAACACGAAGTCGATGTGAATGTGCAGCGTACGACCTTGAGCAGGTTTCAAGTCACACTGTACATTTTCAACCAGTGCAATATCCAATATCATTGTCACGTGTTTGAATTATCCGATTGTTTTCTTTTTGCTCACTTCTTATTGTCCAATGGGTTGTGGTACAACTACTTCACTGCATTTATTTGAGTCACTCTGGTAGTTATTCTAAGATTTGTATATCTTGGGATTTAAATGAGTTCGTCTGTCTCAGTAGTGGGGATGCTGGATATCAGCAGCTATCACATCACCGGGCAATGGGTTGACTGGTTGCGATATAAAAAGTTATGAAGTTTGTTCGAATGCTAAAAGTGGACGACTGTTTCAAGAAATAAATAAATTAGTTAAATAACTGGTAACATGTGGGAAGACGGAATTGAAAGGTGGAGAAGGGAAACAGAAGTTACAAACAAAGGGATGATAAGTGATTACTGATGTGCGATAATGATAATCAAGGTAATTTATGGTACATACATCAGACACAGCTGGTTCAAGAAGGTGAAGGTAATTCATGTGGTGCATGTGTTCGTCAATTCACCTCTTAATGCTATCCACCGGTAGCGCTGTGGTCACTGTGGCTGGGAAGACATTCCAAACGGAGTAACTCTTAGTGAGACAAACTGAAAGCGTACCTAGGTGTTTGCTCCGTGACGTGCAATCTTCCGAGGGTTGTCTCGAGGAGTGCGGTGATTATGTTCAGGTCATAGGCTCATTTGGAGGTGGCTTGGCGTAATCAACATGTTGTGTGTGATCATCCGATTGTAATGACCTACTTTTATCAACAGAACGCGATTGATGTAATGAAAAAATTACTATTATAACCAATTGTACCAGTGATTGTTTTACCGTACTTGTTTCTTTAACTGTACCAAAATACATACATTCTTCCGTTGATTGTGATCTGGCACGAATTCGGTTACGCTCAGTAACCCCACTTGTAACATGTCACGATCTCGGTGTTCTTTCGATACCAGGAGATCGCCAACAAATACATCCCGACTACAGCCATCAACTGCCATCTGATATTTGACTTATGGTGGATCTTATCGGTTAACTGGCACGTAGTCTTATTATTATTATTATTCACAAACATCTTATGGGTACATAAGTGTTCTGAAGAAACTATTTCGAGTTTCTTCAAAAATGCAATAATACACAAGTTTCAATAATGTTAGAATTACACTTACCATATTTGAAAAAGAGAGTAATAATAATAGAATAATAATAATAATAATAAATCAGGTTCTGTGTAGTTGAGAAAAATATTGAATTGAGTTTAAAGAAGGAAAGGAGGAAAATAAGGGAATAGAAATAAAGGAGACGTGAGATATGCAAATAGTTTTATAAGCGTGTTTATGAACACAGAACAAGAATAAACGACTATGTATGTATCGTCAAATTAGTAACAAAAATAAAATAGAAAATAATTAAGGAAAAGATAAAAACTTGTTAATGCAGTAAGATATGACGCTAGAATAGATGTTTGTGCAGTTGTAGTTTGGAGTGATGCTATGAATGTCACAATTAATTGAAGAGGATATCCAAATATCAATATGTATGAGTCATATATTCATAGTAAAGATAAAACGAGTCTGAGAAGTTAATGTACGTGTAATACAAGTTATTGTCTTAATTACAAACTTCGTTATCTTAAGAATGATATTTATTTAGGAGGAAAAAAGAGAGAAAAGAAATGAACACTTAGTGAAAGGGTTCAACCATGATAATAATAGTAATTGTGTAATAAAGTAAACCAACAATTTAGAAAAATGAAATAAAAAAACCCTTTAGTGCACTCGAATAAATACATGTAGATTTATGCAGTAGTATATAGAGTGAAACCGGATATTAATATAAACATTTGTGCAATAATAATTAAGAATGATGTTATGAAAGTCACGATTAATTACAAAAGACAATCAAATATAAATTTCTATGTGTTGTATATATATGTGTGGTGATGACAAAATGAATCGGAGAAGTTAATTTGTTTAAGTGTACCGTGAGATGATTTGTTTTTAGTTATACACTTTGGATATTTAGGAATAATATATGCTCAGAAGGATAAGAAGAGATGAAAAGAATATTTTATGTCGAGGGACAATAATGATATTAATAACAGTAATAATTTTAAATACGAACATAAGCAGATTTCATATATTAAGATGAATAAAAAGGAAATAAAGTAAAATGGACGTTAAAAGTTTCAAAGATTGCATTTCGCTTATCAGTCAAGTAGATAGATCACGGACCTTGTTTGTATAAATCATCATTAAATACATTGATATTCAATAGGTGACACTATCCACTTTCGGAAGGAAAATCGTCAAGGAGACTTCTGAATCGGGTCGTAGTTTCGCTGCAACGGAGGTTCACTGGCAGTCTGTTCCACATGGTTGAGTAGCGAATAACGAAGAAATTATGGCGTAGGTTTGTGTGGGTTCTTGGAATCGCTAAGGTATTTTCCTTATTGCGTAGATTGTGGGATATCATAGAGTATGAAGGAGTGGATACCGAAGAGTAGGAAATACCGTTAATAAGCCGGTAGATAAAGACAAGGTTTAATTTGATACGTCTGATCCAGAGAGGTTCTAATTTGAGTTGGTTACATCTTTGATGATACTCTTTGTTGTCGGAATACCCCAGAATAGCTTTGGTAAACCTTCTTTGAACACCTTTAATTTTAATCAGGTTATTATGCCTGCAATTACTGTAAGCTAAAATACTATATTCAAGAATGGGAAAAATACATTTTCTGTATAATAATAATCTCGATTCGATATTATTGAAGTTTATCATTATGAATCCGATGAGCTTTCTAGCTTTGGATACTTGAGATGCAATGTGCTCAGAAAAGTTCAGACTGTTTCTATATCTTAAACCCAAGTCACGAACAGTGTTAAGGGGTTTCAGTGTATGTTTGTGTATAGTCAGATTTAAGTTAAAGCAGAGGTCAGCGTGAATAAATCCACTTTTGTCAACATTAAGTGGCGAATTCCACGAAACAGTCCATTCCTATAACTTGTTTATTTTTTCTTGGATTACGGCTGAAATATAGCTTTCTTTGGTGATAGAAGAGAATGAATATACTACTTTTAGGTCATCGGCAAGAAGAAAAGGTTTAACATACTGAAAGAGGGAACACACGTCATTGATAAAAAGGAGAAAGAGTAATGGACCAATCACACTTCCTTGTATAATCCCACTGGTTACATTCACAGGTTGACAGTAGCAAGATCCAAAGCGAATGATCTGGCTAAGTTCTTCTAAAAAAGATTTGAGCCAACATAGGAGGGGATTCTGTATGCCAAATGAAGAGAGTTTTAGAAGAAGTTTGTGTGAGACACTGTCGAAAGCCTTAATAAAATCGAAGCAAAAAATTATCACTGACTGACCAACATCTCTTCTCTGGGTAATTTGATCAAAACATTCCAGGTGCGATGTGAAACATGAGCGTTTAGTCATAAACCCGTGTTGGGATGGGCTAATCAGACCAGCCGAAAGTGAAAATGATAATAGCTGTTTGTGGATGATTTTTTCCGTGGTTCTTGAGAGCACGGATGTTAAATTAATTGGCCTATAGTTAACAATATCACTACGTGATCCTGTTTTGAATCTAGGGGTGATAAGAGATGTTTTCCATACAGATGAATAGGTCCCATATTCTATAGATAGGTTGAAAAGTTTCAAACAAAATAGTGGGAATTCTCTTCTCCCGTATTTCACAAATGATGAAGAGATCCCACCAGGTCCACCATCATGACTTTTTCAGGGCAGCCATGGCCTGCTTGATGTTGGAGGGTATAAAATCAATTTTCAATAGGTGTCTGGATGTCAGCATTGGAAATGTAGTGATAGAGTTTTCAGTTCCAGTTTTGTAGCACTACGAGAAGTGCTTGCTGAATTGTTCACAAATAGTATTAGGGTCTTCATCAATGCTTCCGTTAACTATGAAGAATTTAGTTGTGTCAAGGGGATTTGATTTTACACGGGATTTAAAAAGCCGAAGTATTGATAATTCTGGGCTTTTACTACCTAGGGCTTTATTTTCTATATTCATAAAATAATTGCGCTTGGATGAAGCATTTCTGTCGATTAATTTAAGTATACTCTGAAGTGCATACACGTCATTGTGCTCATGGTAGCGGCGTTTTAATTTCCTTAGCTTTCTTTTAAAAGTATTCTGGCTCCTATTAGCATTATAAGCCAGATTGTCAGTAACTGGAGCAGTGCAGTCAAGGCAGTATATTAGATTGTGATATAGATTGGTAAGCGCATTGTCAACATTATTTGTGGTAAACATTAAATGAGTGTTTTGGTCCGTTTTCAGGTTTGTTGATCAAAATGTCTGCTCTGGTACACCATTGAAGCTTTGGAGTTCAATTGTATGGCGTTTAGAGAATGAATAATACTCAATACAACTCTGTGATCACTAATAGAAACGCATGGCTGGTATGCACTGAGATAGAGTCTATGTTGATTGTAAACAATAAATCAAGTATATTATTCCCTCTAGTCGGTTTGTGGACCTGTTGAACCCATCCAAAAATTTCTAGCGTTTCAAATAGCTTGTCATATCGACCGGTTACCGGAGTCGAACCCCAAGCAGTTTTCGGCAGATTAAAATCACCTCCGATGATTTTAAAAGTATGTGGTTGGTGCGAAGCAATAGAAAAAGTGTTTGTTAGTAATCTGTCAGACTTGGTATCCGCATGAGGTGGTCTGTATATGCATCCCACCAGTAGATAATTTCGAGATCCACAGTTTCCAGTAACCCAAGTGGAGTCGTTTATATCATCAAGAGATTTATCTCCAAATTTGCACGCCTGAAGGTCTGAACGAACATAGATAATTGCACCGCCTTTTAATCCATAACATCTATCGGTTTTAAAGAAGACGTAGTTATCTACATTCAAGGATTGATCGGATATAGATGAATTGCACCACGCTTCCGTAATAAGTACAATGGTTCGATTTACAGGGAATAGGAAGGGTTTTAAGATGAATAATTTTATTGGACAAAGAGCGGGCATTGAACGAAAGAATAAGAAACTCAGAGTTATCATGGTGACGCAGGCTAGAGTATAAATCACAATTGGTAGTTCTATGAATA